TGTCCTTTCCTTATTTATTGAATTACTTTATTATTTGACTTACTATCTTATTATCCGAATTACACTGCATTATTATTATTATTAGTACTACTACATGGGAAGCAAATTTGAACCCACTCTTTTTTCCGGAAATATATGTATGTCATGCTTCAATTATAACGTCAAAATTAGACATTATTAACAGTTTGCATTCATACTAAATAAATTTACTTACTATGATTGTAAAATTAAGATAACATAAAATAAAAACATTGGTTGAGTTTACGGCTTACTCCGTGTAATTTAAATTACTTAGAAATACTTATTTACTAGATGAGTAAACTATCAAAAAAATATTTGATTTCACTTGGTACACTTGGCATGTTGATATTCATGTGTTTGTTTACTTTGTTTAATAATTTTATTTACTTGGTAACTTGTTTTAACTTCTACAAAACCTAGCTAATTGTATTGGACAATGGAATCATATAGGAAAATATTTGGATCTTTGGTGACAAACCAATTTTATTCTTACTACCATTAAATGTTTGACAATTCAGAGAGAGTAATATAAAAATAGAGTTTTTTTTTTTAATAATAAGTTGTCAAGTTTTTTTGTGGTAGTGAAGACAAGAGTTTGGTCATGAATAAAACTTTGAATGAATGAATGAATTGAATAAAACTTTGAATGAATGAATAAGAAGCGGATCATGTTACCTTTTTTTATCTAACTTTGTGTGAGCCTGAAAGGAAGGTAAAGATGGTTTTTCTTTTTTCCTTTCTATCTATCTATAAGTGGAATTTCCACCCACATCACGCCCATTACTTCTATCTTCTTCAGTTCAGTGTTGTGTAAGATTTAGGATGTTAGGGGTGGAAATAAACTTTCATATTGGATAGAGAATGAGGAGATCTAATCAGAAAAATTATCTTCGTTGATAAGAGATCTTTTGAGTGAAACGACAAAAGTTAAAGTCACAAAAATTTATGCCTAAAATTTGATAATGTCGTTCCATGTCTTTTATTTTCTTGGGATCCTTAACAATGACCATAGAAAGTCACAAGTGACACTAAACCTTCCAATCCATAAAATCAGCACAAGAATAGCAATTCGCCCAATCCTCATCAATCTCATCGGCAAATATGCAACCACAGGCAACCCAATTTCTAGTGCCATAGAAGATGTATGGAGTGCCACTTGGATGAAGAGCATCCTCATCATAACTCTGCTGCTTGTCACAAACACTCATTGTGGCTTTGTCCATTCCATTTTTCAAGTATGTTATGGCTTTCACAGGCACATTTCTAAGTGCCACCACCTCCATTATGATCCCATGTTTGTGCTACCTCAAGAAAAATAAATCCGCACGAAAATTTGGATGGGAATTGATGATCATTGTGGGAATTTTGGTGATGGGTTTTTCTGTTGCCCTCTTGGGTACTTATTTTCTTCTCTGAGCGGAATTGTAAAACGTTTATGAATATATAATTTTCAGGTCAATATATAATAAATTTTGGGTTAAAATACTCCGTTGGTTCATGTAATTTTAGTTTTGGTTCATTTTGATCCTTGTATTTTAAAATTGTTCATTTTAGTCTCCATATTTTAAAAAATGTATCATTTTGATCCCGACTATTAACTCACCGTTAAAAACTAACGGGTTTAATGATGTGGCATTGACTAAGAGTCTAGGTGGCAAAATTTAATTGCCAAATAAGATGGGTTTGATTTATTATAAATATAATATGAATAGTAAAAAAATGTTTAATATAAATTAGCAAATAATTAGTAGGAAAGATTTTGTTTGAATAGTAAATATAAAAAGTTTCAGAAAATAAAATAAAATATTCAAATGATTGAGGACTTACATTTTTATATGACCTCGAGTTCTTGTTGATTCTCCCTCATGAAATTTTGGTAGGATCTTTGATTTTTGTTGATTCTCCTTCGAAAATGTGACAGGGTCTCGGGGTTTTGGTGATGTTTTGCCCTTTTGAATAAACGAAAAGATTTTTTACAAACGGATATGATCTAACAACTTATTTCATAACTTTTGGATATGAAAAATAAAAAACTTATCTCGTAGACCAATTAATGCGAATAAAATAAAATTGAACGGAAGCATCTTAACCATTTAAAATAGGACAGTAGAGACCTAAGTCCATATATGATTGATCAACAATTAAGGAAAA